GATGTTGAGAACTATGTGAAAAGCTGCTCAATTTGTGCCACAGTGAAACACAGAACTGGAAAAACCCCTGGCCTCCATCAACAAGTAGCTGAACCAACGAAGCCATGGGAAGAAATCACGATGGACTTTATTGTAGAGTTACCGGAGAGTGGAGGAAGTACCGTGACTTGTACTGTTATCAACTTATTCTCTAAGCAAGCCCACTCTACAGCATGTAAGAAACTTGTGAAACTTTTTGTGAAGCATATCTATAGGCTCCACGGAGTACCTCGTAGAGTAATCTCAGACCGAGGTGTACAGTTTATTGCTAAGTTCTGGAGGGAATGTTTGAAGTCCATTGGGTCATCCCAAGGGCTCTCCTCAGCATTCCATCCTGTGTGCAATGGTGCAGCGGAGAGAGCAAACACCATGGTGGAACAATACATTAGATGCTATGTAAATTATCAATAGGAGAACTGGGCGGAACTGTTGTCATTTGCAGAAGTTGCTTACAATAAGGCAGTACACAGCAGCACAGGCTTGACTTCGTTCCAAATTAACAGCGGCATGAATTTTGTACCTATGGTGGAATTATCTAGGGAACCCCCAATATTCATGTCTTTAATGGAGTGGATGGAATCATTAAAAAAAAGTTGGGAGGATACAAAAAAAGCTTTAACTGAAGCTGCTGAGGAATATAAAAAAACAAGCAGAGCAGATAATTCAACTCCAGCTTACCTGGCTGGTTACTCGTAAAGCATTAGATGATGCTCATCAAGCTCATAAAAAACAAGCAGACAAGAAGAGAATTCCACCAAAAACCATACCAAGTGAGGGATAAGGTCTTTTTGTCCACTAAGTATTTACAAACAACCCAGAAATCTAAAAAAGTGGGACCTTAATATGTGGGACTTTTCCCAATTGTACGAATTGTGAATCCTGTTGCAGCGCAATTACAATTGCCCAAAACTCTTAGAAGTATCCACCCCATCTTTCATGTTAGTTTGTTGAAACCTGAACATATGTCCAACCTGCGACCTGACCAGGCCACCCCACCAGTTCCTCTTCTAATTGAGGGTGAGCAACATTTTGAGATTAAAGAGATTTTAGATTCCAGGAAACAGAGAGGAAGACTCCAATAATTAGTTGTTTGGAAGCATTTCCCTCCTTCTCAGTCAGAATGGGTGAATGAACGTGATGTTAGAGCCCCTAAATTTATACAAGCATTTCATGCTTCTGTGTCTTCATAAAGAGAAGGAGTATTTTTTGTTTCAATTCTTTTTAAAAATATCTTCCTGTGAAGACTCAATGCAGCCAACCTTCATCTACTATTTTTACTTGAATATTTTTAATATTTTTACTTGAAGTCAAAAGAGTCATCAAACTATATGTACCAACAACAACTCCCAAAACAAAACAAAAAAGCAGATTACCCATAACAATAAGGAAACTTCAATCCAAAAAGAGATCACTCTGGCGGAAAAACAAATCTGGTCACGTTGCCAATTTCAAAAGCCGATACAAAAATTTATGCCACCAGATAAAGACCGAATGCATCAATTATCACATTAAACAAGAGGAAAACCTTCTAAGCACCAATTCCACCCGTGCTTTTTACAATTTTGTAAACAACAAACTAAAAGACTCAAGGTCTATCCCACCCTTGATAGGACCTGATGGTAAAGACTGCAACGACGACACCACTAAAGCCAACATCTTTAACACATTCTTCAGCTCAGTATTTGTAAACAGCAATGGATCATGCCCAGTATTTCCTAGCCGTACCACAGATAACAACAATGATCTAATACATATCGATTTTACAGAAGACAATGTTGAAAAAGCACTACGCAATCTAAAACCATCTCTATCTATTGGACCTGATGGAATATGTGCCTACTTCTTAAAAAAGCTATCCACTGCCATAGCCAAACCTCTAAGCATAATCTTTGAAAAATCTTTCAGGACCAGCTCCTTGCCTAACCTATGGTCACAAGCCACAGTCATCCCCATCTTCAAAAAGGGAGACCCAAGCCTAGTTGAAAATTACAGACCAATCTCCTTATGCTGCGTCACCTGTAAAGTCATGGAATCAATTATTAACCAATCCATCATCCTCCACTTAGAGACAAACAACCTACTCTCCAATAAACAATTTGGTTTCAGAAAAAAACTATCTTGTAATCTGCAACTCTTACACTACAAAATCATATGGACGACACAACACGACCAGGGCAAAGCAATAGACGCAATCTACATAGACTTCTGTAAAGCCTTTGATTCAGTGGTACACGACAAACTACTCCTAAAAATAAAATCCTATGGTATCTCTGGACAACTGAATAACTGGATAGAAGCATTCCTGGCAAACAGACAACAAATGGTCAAAATTGGGAGCGTCCTATCAAATTCTGTACCTGTCAATAGTGGTGTCCCCCAAGGCAGTGTTCTAGGACCAACTCTCTTCATACTCTACATAAATGACCTCTGTGATCATATTAAGAGCAATTGCGTTCTTTTCGCTGATGATGTAAAGCTGTTCAATACCACAGACAATACTGCTACCCTACAAAAAGATCTTGACTATGTATCAGAATGGTCAAACAAATGGCAACTTCAAATCTCAACAAATAAATGCTCTGTCTTACATATTGGCAAAAAAAAATCAGAAAATAAAATACAAGCTGAATAGTCAAGATCTTGTTGATGACCCAAGCTCTGTAAAGGACCTTGGAATACTCACCTCTAATGATCTAAGTGCTAGAGCCCACTGCAACTACATAGCCAAAAAGGCATTAAGAGTTGTTTACCTAATCCTACGTAGCTTTTTCTCTGGTAATATCACACTACTAACCAGAGCATACAAAACATTTGCTAGACCAATACTCGAATACAGTTCATCAGTCTGGAACCCACATTACGTATCTGATATTAGCACAATTGAGAAAGTCCAGAAATATTTCACAAGAAGAGTTCTCCGCTCCTCTACTCGTTGTAGAATACCTTATGCCACCAGACTTGAAATTCTAGAACTAGAAAACCTTGAATTACGCCGTCTTCGGTCTGATTTAAGCATGGTATATAAAATCATACATTGCAATGTCCTACCTGTCAATGAATACTTCAGCTTCAACCATAACAACACAAGAGCACACAATAGATACAAACTCAATGTTAACCGCACCAAACTTGATTGCAGGAAATATGACTTCAGCAATAGAGTGGTCAATGTCTGGAATACTCTACCCGACTCTGTAGTTTCTTCCCCAAACCCCAAAAACTTTAACCTTAGACTGTCTACTATTGACCTCACCCCTTTCCTAAGAGGTCTGTAGGGGGCGTGCATAAGCGCACCAACGTGCCTACCGTCCCTGTCCTATTGTTTCTCTTATTCTTCTTTTATTTTTCTTATATGTACCCATTTCATGTATTCACAACTATGTATACACTTATACTTATTATCTTGTAAACAATTGGCAAATCAAATAAATAAATAAAAAATAAATAAATACTATCTTATCAGTGTTTTTTTTCTTGGTCTGTTCAGTAGTTTTAGGTAAGTATGTTTGAAGTTAGGACATGCCAAAAATGAATTCCATGTGTCCTCCAAAATACCTAGTCTCATCTCACAGGTGCCATAAATGCTTACTTTCCAAGATCCTAAGCTAAAACTATTACTGAATAAGAGTATGCTATTCCATTCTATAATTATGGCTGGATTCTATGAATTGAAGAATGTAACCACTTCCTTTCATACTGAAAATATTATGATAACTTTAATGGTTATAATACCTCATACTGTCATGCCAAAAGGTTGGCTCCATCTACCATCTCTCAACATTGTGGTTATTAAGCAACACATATTAAAAAATGTAACACCACAAATTGTATAGCATGGTGAATACAATTCTTTAAGCAGGTGAAAATCTTATGTCAGTATTGAGACAAAGAAAACATGCCAATTTTTTTTTGTAAAATACTCTGAATATCTGGATAAAAGTCAAGAAAAGTTCAAATATATGTGTGATTCTTTTATTTTTAGAATCATACCACTATTATTAAGAAAAATATAAAAGTATACACAGACCTCAACATTTTGCTTAGGCTTAATTTATAAACAGTTTTAATTAGGTTTGACCTTTTGAACCTGCTCAATGTGACTTCATACCAAATCAAAAGTATGACTGGAGAATCTGAAGCTTTCTGTACCTTGGATTTATGATTCGAAAATTCAAGAATGGGTATTTGGCTTTTTTACTTTCTAAATTTTGTCAAAATTTCCCTGTTTGTATTTCAATCTAAAAAATGAAAGTTTGAGATAAATAGATATAATTGCTGATTTTGTATCTTTATTTTTAGAAATAAAATATTAAGGAGAGTACATAAAATATACTTGGCTTGAAACAATGTTGGATCCACAATAGCCAGCAATGTGCAGAGAACAATTTTTCTCTGCTTTATCAGAAAATAAGGATTCAATTTTGTATTCCACAAAATTGGACCCACAATGTTTTTAAATAAGCATCACATAAGGAAAACATGAACTCTGGGGAAAGCAAGAAACAAATATATACTTATAAAATTCTGTGTCTTAATGAGACATAGAAAAAGTGAAATGTGTATAAAAATAAAGATTTATGAAACTCAATCTACACTACTTAAATGCATAATTTTAGAAGTGTTAAGGAATTTTAGAAATAATTCCTATTTGTAAAAACCTGTGAAGAATAACACTTATTTTAGTTGGACGCATAATAACAATAAATAAAAAATAACATGTTGGCTATATTTTAAAAAAGTGAATTGTAAGACTATAATGTTAGTCCACATCCTTTCAATCTTTTAAAGTTTGTTATCCTAAAGAATGAACTAAATTCTGAAAGCTCACTGCACTAAATGAAACCTATATTATAAAACATTGAAAATGAAGGTGCAAAATATATATAAATCTATAAATATTTTTTTAAACCTTCTATGTGAAAAAATAATCTGTACATACATAAAATCCTATTTGCACAAACCTTCAGGATCAAGGAGTTTCTCAATTCCTAGGTATTGTTTAGCTATATTGAATGCATGATCTAATCTCTGCACAGCGGACTGTTGATAAATCACAATCTCCCAATTGAAGAGATCTGGCCTGGGGAAAAGAAGAAAGCACAAAATTACTGTCAGAATTATATATATATAATTATATATATAATTATATAACATACATACATACATACATGCACACATATACGTATATGTATGTGTGTATACAACCCTACACACACACACACACACACACACACACAGAGTCTGAATCCCAAATGTTAAGAGAACTACAGATAACAAGAATGGCATCTTCTACAGACAATATTTTGCAAAAAGTTATCTAATAAAAGTTAAATATCAAACCAAAACACAGATAATATCCCTTAAATGTTTAAACAATTTAAAGGCAGAAAGAAATCCTATTTTAGAGAAACAATATGGAATTTTATGCTGTTAATTACGCTGTTGTAGTATAAATAATTGTATTAATCTGTGACTATATTTTCACTAAGAATAATCAATTTGAATTTTCAAGGCTATGAAGAACTTTAATCATATTAAAGATGCACAAAACTGTCCACCGTGGAGCAATAAAATGCAGCATACAGAGAATAATTTTAGATTCAACTGACCCTTCTTCAGTTATTTTGCTTTATGGCATAGAAGCACAAGTGAAGGAGATCAGAAGCCTGAGTATGCCTTCTTTAAAGGAAAACCAGCTCTAAATCTTTCCCGCAGTTTCAGTACAATTGAAATAAGAAATATCCCACCCCCCAAGTGTCACAGATCACTTTGGCCAATTGGGTTAATTGGCGGGATCTCCAGGCACTCTTCCTCGATATCCGTCACCTGTGCAGATGATCTTGGTTCCCACAAAGAAAGCTCTGTGTTGTGTCTAGCAAAGCATTCTATCCTCCTTCCCCCCTCCCTACACAGTGTGGCAACTGAGAAACAGGAAAATGTCACCTGCCAGGTTTGTTTCAAAGATGACAGTTTATGCTGCTATGTCTGCAAAGCACTTACTTTCATTTTGTCCCAGGAATCTATACCGATTCAGTAATTCAGTGGTACAGGCTTAACAGATTAACAGAGTTGGAAGGAATCTTGTAGGTTATTGCCGCCTATTGCAATAAAATAACCCCCATCCCTATGACAACAGATCATATGAGCCATTTAATGGGCTCCATACCACTCTGCATTCCCCAGGCTCGCTGGCAGAACCAGGTCTTCAGTGCCTTCTGGAAGAGTGTTAGAGTGGGGGAATCTCTGGGGGAATGATGTTCCAGAGAGAGGAAGCCATCACGGAGTAGGCCCTTCTTCTGGGTCCCACCAGGTGTATCTCCCTAGGGCAGGGATCTGCAAACTTAAACAATCAAAGAGCCATTTGGACCCATTTCCCACAGAAAACACCAGGAGCCACAAAACCTGGCTGGGTGTGACCTACTCAACGTCACTCACACCCCCAGTCACATGACTCCCAGCCATGTCTATCCAGGTTTTGTGGCTCCCAGTGTTTTCCTTTCTGTGGGAAATGGGTCTCTCCCTCTCTGTCTCATCTATCTATCTATCATCTATCTATCTATCTATCTATCTATCTATCTATCTATCTATCTATCT